TGCATGTTTCATGGCCATACACTTGCATCTTTCACTCATTCAATTATGCCTTAAACATGAGTCATTGTGTATGCCTTCATGCCTAAGCTTGCGAGCTATCATTTTGATGTGTTTTTGGGGTTATTTTACCATAATATAACTCTAATTTTTGTTGGCGAAGCCATCTCATGCTTGGTCTTGATAGGTGTAGTGTAATCCACCTTTTGGCCTTGCATATTTCATGCGTCATGCCCTTCATGCTAGCATATGTTAGCTTCCTTCCATACATGTTTTAGACTCATTTTGGCATGTTCTAGAACTATTTTAGGTTGCCTTGACCATATGCTTCATGTTTTGCATGGTTGTAGTGCAAATGCCTATGCTAGCTTCAAGTTTTGGGTACCATAGCATGCTTCATTTGTGTTGTGTACATGATTTGGCATCCTTTAACATGACATTTCAGAGCATATAGGACTGCCATGTTCCCATTTCTTTCACTCTTTAAGTGCCTTTGAGTGTTATGCATTGTTGCCTAGTTTATGGCCTAGCATGTATGCCATCTTGCCTAAGTCTTTGAGCCCTCATGTCAATATGTTTTGGTCTTTGTTTAGACCTATTTGAGCTCTATCCATGATTGGTTCAATCATTTGTGCCATGTATTACATGCCCCTTGTGTAGTCCCTTTAATGGCTTTGTGCCTTAGGCCCTCTTGCATGCTTTACTTGTGCTGTTTGAATGATTTGGCATCATTTCATACTTGATTTCAGAGCCTTTAGTGTTTTCTCACTCCCATGTTTATCACTTCTTGAGCACTCTTGAGAGTTGTGTTCTTAGGCCTAGTTGATGGGCCAATGAATGTGCATGCTTTGTTTTGCATTTCATGCCTTTGTTTTGGTGTTATGGCCACTGATTTGGGCATGATTGAGGTCTATCCATTTTGGTTTAAGTCCATTGAGCATGTTTGCTTTTATGTTATTTGCATGCTTACATTGCCATGTTGTTGCATGCTTATGTTTCCTTGCTTTATGTATGCATGTCATTAGCTTTGTTAAGTTGATCATGTTACATCGCGTCGAGTATGCCATGTTGTCCATTGCATTGTGTATTCCATGTTCTCCATCTTGTGCATGCCATCTTACATTGCATTGTGTATGCCATCTTACATTACATGTTTAGCATGCTTGTTGTTGTATTGCATTTGTTTGGATTAGGTATTAATCCAAACACGAGAAACGAGGGATGTTTCATACTTGAAGTGATGAAACGTGCCTCAATTCTCGGTCGCCGATGCTCTTGATCATACATGATAGAGTTCTAGGCTTTATGTGTTTATGCGTGCATTCATTGTACATTGAATTGTGCAATTTGGCTTCTCAGCCATCATGCATCGAGATGCGTGATTGGTGGCCCGAGGGTCGAGAATCACACTCCCTTGAGCTTATGAAATGATAGGGAGAGTGGTTGTGCACACATATGTTGCAAATACATTGCCATGCCCTTTCTTCCTCTCTGTTGTAGCAAAGTAGAGAAGTGCAGCAAAACTAGTCGGCCGACCAAATAAACTAGCTGGCTGACCACTTTTTCTAGTTTGCAGCAATAGAAAATGGTCGACCAGTGGCTGGAAGCATCCCTAGGTGGTCGGCCATGTTCCTACAGGTTCCCATGGTGGAGTTGAAGCTTTGTGGAGATTGGTGCAAGGTTCTGAGAACAATTGCAAACAGAGGCAAGTTGGGGCATCGCGACGGATTTCCAAACGAGGCGACCGAGCATGCGTGCATTCTTCTCCCTCTGAGGACATTACTTTACTGCTTTACTTAGCTAATTTTCTTAGCTAGTTTATGCTTTGGTTCTGTACCTAATTAGTTAATGCATTTAACTATTCAATTTGTGTTGTAATAGCTTAATTAATTAGCCTGTTAGTTAATTGGTTTTGTGATGTAATAATTAGTTTAATTAGCTTAGATTAGCAAGTTAGCTCTTATTCGGACCCTCCGTCGAGAGGGCCAATTGTTGTAATAAGCGCGTGTGTGTGTGATGCATGTCTTCCAACCCCCATTTCTTTCTCCTTTTTACTTAACCGCTTACAATGGTTAGTTTTAGGGCATATTTCAATTAGCATACCTTATGCTATGCATGCGTGCATCATTCATCTGTTTTGCATGCACCGGGCTCGACGCATCATACTACATACATTGTATTTCAATTCCAAGTTGAATACATGTATCAAGTTGCATTTCATATGCCATTTCTTAGAATAGCCGAGCCTATCTTAGTCACATTTTTGCATGTGTTGCATTAGCCATCTTAACATGAACTAGGATCATGCATGATTTCTAACTAGTTCTCTGTTTTGGCTCGGAGTACACTGTGAGTGTTTACGCTTTAGCATCCTTGCATGTGTGTAGATGCTGCCATGCTTAGCATGCTTGCCATGAGGCTAACTGCATAAGTGTTTAACTGCCTGAATGCCTGTGGGTGAAGGTTGGATTGCTTGAATTGGAACAATTCATTGAAATCCCCGATTTAGCCTACGAGTAGCAAACTTCAAACCGTTTTCAAACAAATGAACGTGCAATGTTTTGTTCCAACTTAGGTGACCTAGTCTATACTTGTATGCTGCGTGCATCACATAGCAATTCTAGGTTAATAATCGAAATAAGAACACATGTGTTTTCAAAAACAAAATATCATGCTTAGTACAAGCCGATCTTTGATCGGGCGAGCAGGGGTGCTCATTGCATGACCTTCCCCTCTCGTACCCAAGTTCCCGAGCCGAGGCAACTTTGGTGATGATGGACACGTGGCCTTAGGCACGAGTCAGGGTTTCCTAAATTCCCCCAAAATAAAATATTTAGGCGGCGACTCTGTATCTGGCAAAGCAGTCCATGTTTGGCATTTCTTTATTAAAATTGATTTTCCAAAACGATTTGCCGGATTTGGACTATTTGGTGATTTATCAGTCTTGCATTGCACTTTGCGAGATTAGATTTAGAACCGTGACATGAGTTTGAACTTGTAGTAGCTAGAGAACAAAATGAATTCGCGCCCTCGCAGGCGCGGCGCCAGGGAGTTCTCGGGGGTGGTCTACAGTCACATAGTAAATTTAGCAAATAATCGGAATATGAACACATAATGTATATAAAAGAACACATCATGATTAGTAGAGGCCGATCTTTTGATTGGGTGGGCAAGGGTGCTCATCTCATGACCTTCCCCCTCGTACCCAAGTTCCCGAGCCGAGCCAACTTTGGTGATGACGAATACATAGCCTTTGGCATGAGTCAGGGTTTCCTAAATTTTTCCAAAAAAAAATATTTAGGTGGAGACTCTATAATCTGGCAAAGCAGTCCAATTTTGGCATTATTTGATTTAAAATAGATTTTCCAAAACGATTTGTCGGATTTGGACTCTTTAGTGTTTATCAGTTTCACATTGCACTTGTAAAACTAGATTCAGAACCGCGGGAGTTCGAACTGTGAGGCCTTTCTTTTCAAATCTTTCCGAAAGGCGGGGCACAGAAAAAGGCGAGTCCACAGACGTCTCTATAAATTCATTAACCTTCATGTTCTTGTTTCTTCTGTGCTCGCAGCTCCTACTACTGCTCCTATTTTGTCTCCTTTTCAGCTTTGGCACTATCGTTTAGGACATCTTTCTGTTGGTCGTCTTTAATTTCTAGTGGTCAATTAGGTCTTGTCAGTTTTGATACTTTAGATTGTTTGTCATGTCAACTTGCCAAACAACTTGCTTTATCATTTAATAAAAATGACTCTATTTCTCTTGCACCTTTTGATCTCATCCATTCTGATATTTGGGGCCCCTCCCCTACTCGTAATGGGAGGCACACGCTATTTTGTTATTTTTATAGATGATTTTTCTCATTTTACATGGTTGTTTCTTATAAAAAATCATTTTGAGCTCAAACAACTTTATTAGAATTTTTCTAAAATGGTCGAAACCCAATTTTCTAAAACTATTAAGTTTTTTTGCTCAATAATGGAATGGAATATAAGGATTTTAATTTTCTTTCTTTTCTTTAGAGTCAAGGTACTCAGCCTCATCGTTCATGTTTCAACACGTCTCAACAAAATGGACGTGCTAAACGGAAACATAGGCATATTCTCGACACTACTTGAGCTCTCATTCCCTCTTCTTCTTGTCCAGAAATTTTTTTAGGCGAAGTCGCTCTCACTACTGCTTGCATTATCAATTGTGTCCCTACGCCTGTCATTCATAATCACACTCCCTATGAGCATTTACATGGCACTTGTCCCCCTTACACCAATCCTAGGGTCTTTGGTTTTGCATGTTTTGTTCTTCTCCAACCTCATGAACACAACAAACTTGAACCTCGTTCATGTCTTTGTTGCTTCTTAGGGTATGGTATTGAACATAAAGGGTATCATTGTTGGGATCCTATCTCCCAGTGCCTCAGTATTTCTCGTCATGTGGTTTTTTAGGAACACAAAATGTTTTCCTCCCTCTCCCAATTCTGCTTATCCACTCCCTCTCACTCTCTATTTTTTACTAACCCTTCCATAGATCTATTTTCTGATGAGATTGATACAGGGCCCCTCCCTACACCTTTAGAGACATCCTTGCCTACTAGTCTTTCCCGTGAGGTTGCTCGCTCTGCTGGTCCTGCTCTCGCTCCCTCAGGATCCTCACCTCCTGTTGAGTCTCTCCCATGCCCTCTGGCTCCTTCACCATCCGCTCGCCCACACCGGGTAACACAACCTTCTATTCGTCTGTGTGATTATATTGTTGGTTCCACTACTTTTTCTACTCATGAACCTACCTCTTATCGTGAGGCTTGCTCTAATCATCTTTGGCAGTATGCTAAGACTGATGAATTGCAGGCTTTAGACAAAACTCATACTTGGGACGTTATTGATCTTTTCCCTGGCAAGACTGCTATTGGCTGCAAATGGGTGTAAAAAATCAAGACACACTCTGATGGCTCTACTGGTGCTATTTGCAGCTTGATTGTTGTTGCTGCCACCCGTTAATGGGACCTTTGTCAAATGGACGTGAAAAATGCATTGCTTAATGGTGATCTTCTAGAGGAGGTCTACATGCAACCTCTCCCTGGCTCTACTTATCCGCCTCACAAGGTATGCAAACTTCAACGTGCATTATATGGTCTTAAGAAAGCCTCGCAAGCTTGGTTTGCCAAGTTTAGGTCTACTATTCATGATTGTGGTTTCACCTCTAGTTCTTATGATACTGTTCTTTTTGTGAGGAAAACTGCTCGAGGGACCACCCTGCTTCTGCTTTATGTGGATGACATGATTATCACTAGTGATGATGTGGATGGTATTCTTCTCCTCAAACAATTTCTTAGTCATCATTTCGAGATCAAAGACCTTGGTCCTCTCAGCTATTTCTTGGGTCTTGAAATCTCCCATGATTCCACGAGTTCATTTCTCTCTCAGGCTAAGTATACCTCCGATCTTCTCGCTCGTGCTGGTCTTACAGATTGCAAGATTCCCTCCTCTCCATTGGAGACTCAGAGTCGTCTTAGTCCTCTTGATGGTTCTCTACTCTCTAATGCTACTCTGTATTGTCAGTTGGTTGGCAACATTGTCTATCTCATTGTTACTCATTCTGACATTGCCTATGCTGTCCATATTGTTAGCCAGTATATGTCGGCTCCTCGTACACCTCATTATAATGCTTTGTTTCGTATCCTTCGCTATCTGAAAGGCACCTTGTTTCATAGACTTCATTATTCTGCCCATTCATCTCTTCAGCTTTGTGCCTTCTCCGATGCTGATTGGGTTGGGGATCCTACTAACCACCGCTCTACTACAGGTTTCTGCTTCTTCTTAGGCAATTCTATTATTTCTTGGCGCAACAAGAAACAATCTCTTACTGCTTATTCAAGTACGGAAGCCGAACACCATGCTCTTGCTGATACTACTCAGGAGCTTCTCTGGCTTCATTAGCTTCTTGCTGACATGGATGTTACCCTTCTGGTGCTATTGACCTCTATTGTGACAATCAAAGTATTATTCAAATTGCTCACAATGATATTTTTCATGATCGCACCAAGCATATTGAGACTAGCTACCATTTTATTCGTCAATATGTCAACCATGATACTATTCATCTCCATTCGATCTCTTCAGCTAATCAACCTGCTGATATCTTCACTAAAGCTCATCCTCTTGGCCACTTCATTGAACTTGTTTCCAAACTCAAGTTGGCTGATGTTTATCCTCCTTGAGTTTAAGGGGGCTGTTAATGTATATCTATGTAGATAGATATGTATGTTTAGATAGCTATGTTTTCTCCTATATAAAGAAGACCATGTACATTGATTTTAAATTAGTTTTACATAATATATTTTCACAAAGAGACTCTCTCTCCCTCTCTCTCTCTCTCTCTCTCAACTTATTTAACAAGTTGGTTTCTTTGGGGTGTGGTGATGTGACTATTTTTCTTTGTTCCTTGACTATTCCTATTTTCCCCTAATTTACGTTTCACTATTTTTCCTATTTTTCCTTGGTTTCTTTGGTTGGTTTCTTTGGGGTATGGTGATGTAAGTATAATTGGGTTCTTTGGGCTTAATTTATGTTTCACTATTTTTCCTACTTTTCCTTGGTCTCCTTGGTTGGTTTCTTTGGGGTTTGGTGATGTAAGTATAATTAGGTTCTTTGGTTGGTTTCTTTTGGGGTGTGGTGATGTGAGTATGCTTAGGTTCATTAGGGTGTGGTGATGTGAGTATAATTGGGTTCTTTGGGCTTAATTTATGTCTATTCCTATTTGTTCTTAATTTATGTTTCACTATTTTTCCTATTTTTCCTTAGTTTCTTTGGGGTGTGGTGATGTGAGTATAATTGGGTTCTTTGGGCTTAATTTATGTCTATTCCTATTTTTCCTTAATTTATGTTTCACTATTTTTCCTTGGTTTCTTTGGTTGGTTTCTTTGGGGTGTGGTGATGTGAGTATAATTAGGTTCTTTGGGGTGTAGTGATGTGACTATTTTTCCTTGGTTTCTTGACTATTCCTATGTTCCCTTAATTTATGTTTCACTATTTTTCATATTTTTCCTTGGTTTCTTTAGAGTGTGGTGATGTGAGTATAATTGGGTTCTTTGGGCTTAATTTATGTTTCACTATTTTTCCTTGGTTTCTTTGGGGTGTGGTATTTTTCCTTGATTTCTTTGGGGTGATGGTGATGTGAGTCACTATTTTTCCTTGGTTCCTTGACTATTCCTATTTTTCCTTAATTTATGTTTCATTATTTTCCCTTGGTTTCTTGGTTTCTTTAGGGTGATGGTAATTTATGTTTCACTATTTGCAGGCATCAAAGTCTTTCCTTTGCCTTGTTGGCTTCTTGGTTTCTTTGGGGTGATGGTAATGGCTTCTTGGTTTCTTTGGGGTGATAGTAATTTATGTTTCACTATTTACAAGCATCAAAGTCTTTCCTTTGCCATGTGGCAAATAATTTTGCATTATAATAGGTAGCGCGCAGGTTTGAACCTGCAACGTCTGCTAGAGTTTTTGCAACGTTTAACCACCAAGCTTAATAGCCGCTACATTAACAAATGATATAGATTTATATTATTTACTACATTGGTAATATTTTCTACAATTATTATTTTATTTATAATCTATAAAATAATTATAATATCACAATTCGGTGCCAATTAACTAAAGGACCATGCTATATGCATCTTATTACATATTTTTGTGATAAATGTCATGCATTTTTTGTAGCAATTACGACAATTTATTATTTAGAAATTAAATAACACATTTTGTGGTTGTTACCCATTTGATCCAAATATTTTAGGGTAAACTATCAATAGATCCTAATATTTAGACTTAATTCTCATCAAGTCCTATTGAAAATAAGTTCTAGTAAAATTGTCGCTAAAAATAATTTTTCTGTGACTATTTTTTACATATGTAGCTAAAAATTGACAATTAGTGACTTTTTTTTGTCACGATTTTCATAATCTGCTGCTAAAACTTACAATTAGTAACGTTTTCTGTGACAATTTTTTATATTGTAGCTGTAAGTTGTAAATTAGAGCTATTTTTGTGACACTTTTTTTAAACTATTGCTAAAACTTATAATTAGTGACATTTCATTTACAAAATTTTCAAACTGTCGCTAAAAATTAATAATTAGTGACGTTTTTTAATAGTGTTTCACGAAAAATGTCATTAAATATTATAAGACTTATTGGACAATAAGTCCACTTATTAGGACCTACACGTAAGTTCCCTAATATTTTATAACCACAAAATGTGTAAGAATGCAACAAAATATGTAACATTATCACAAAAATATGTAATTTTATTTTTAAATTGCAAATTTTCTTAATTGTTACCAAAAAAATATGTAATTGTTGGCGTTGAATTCAAACCAACTAATTCGAAAGTGGGACATGGAAAAATATAAAGAGATAGGATTAGCTAATCAAGAGAGAGCACATGGAAAACCAAAAAGGGACAAATGTTGGATTGTAAGAGGTTTCATGTGGCAGTTCGCAACTTTAGTTATATATCATGAGATAGAGAGCAAGGCTTAGGGGTGCAACCATTTCAAGCAGTTACAAAGAAACAGCTAAGGCCTTGGAATTCAAATTCAGAGTTAAAAGAGGGAAAAGCTTATGAATGTAGTTATAATGGTGGAGATTATAGAGGTGAGGTTCAACAATTATTGCAAATTCGAAGGACACCTATAAATAGTCGAAATGAAAGACAAAGAAAATCCTCCGAACAAATTCAACACATTAATTTATTATTTTTCTCTTTTCTTCCCCTACATTTACTTTCCATACGAGTAGTTTTTAACTTAAAATTATAATTTTCTTTACCAGTTCTTACTTTCGAAGTTGCCAGAACAATCAGGCTAACACAAGTGTAATTGGATTATTTTTATAAATCAATTATTTTGTTTATGTTGGTCTTTTCCTCCTATTCTTAACTTGATTATTACCGCATTAAGTTCTCTTTATTCATTGCATTGGTTCAAACTTA